TAGACAGGCCCGTTGGGCTGCCCAAGAGTCAAAAGGCAGCCGCCGGTAGGGGTCGCAACTGCCCCTACTCTTAAGCCATGTGGGGAAGCGAGCGCGCGCGTAGAGGAAACTTTTACACCAAATGAGCCTTCGGCAGAGGTTGCAGGCCCGTGCCCAGTTAGATGTCCAGAGACTGCTTGTGTCAGCGTCTCTCTAGGCACGTCCCTCACAGTCGTGGCAGAAGAATTGAAGGAGAGGATGCCTGCCTGGGCCAAAATGAAGAAAGACGGTACACGGCAGCTAGTGCTAGTAGATGTAGAAGTGTTCAGGAGTAGAGTAGGGGCCCTTATAGATTCAGGGGCCACCCGCAGTTACATTAGTCGTAGGGCGCTGAAATAGTTGAGGCTAGGGTTTAAAATCCAGAAGTTGGAAGACCCCATAGTTAGTGTGCTCGCAGACAACCGCACGATGCGAGTTGAGGACTACGTAGAGGGAGTCCAGGCATACTTTCGCCTAGAGAAAGATGGGAAGGTGGAGAAAGTTCTCCATTCCTTGACTCTCCTCGTACAGGATGACCTTCCGTTTGACATAGTCCTAGGCATGGACTGGGGAGAGGCAGCAGGGGCCACACTTCACTTGAGAGAGCATGAGTGTAGGCTCCCTAGTCCGTCAGGCGAGGTTAAGACTGCCCGCCTATTCCATGTGTCAGGAGTAGACAACTCGCTGGCACATTGCTGTCTCAATGCTCCCGCGTTCACGCGATTAGTGAAAAAGGAGCCGTTAGAGGATCAGGTCTTTGTGGTGTATGTTAGACCTGTCACTGAGCCTGAGGAAGAGGTTAGTCCCACGGATCAGCCATTGCCAAGCTGCTGGAGGAGTTTAAAGACTTATTTGAGCCGCCGACAGGAGTTTAAAGACTTATTTGAGCCGCCGACCAATCCAGCACAGGATAGAGATAGAGCCTGGCAGTAGAACCCCATTAAGGGAGCAGTCTACAGGATGTCCCTTGCCATAAAAAAAAAAACTTAATAGAGGACCTGCGCAAGCAGTTGGACGAGCTCCTCGAGAAGGGTTGGATTAGGCCCAGTTCATCTCCTTTTGGAGCACCTGTTTTGTTTGTCCCCAAGAAGGAAGGAGAGTTACGCATGTGTATAGACTATAGGGGTCTGAATGCTATCACAGTCAAGAATGTTGAACCACTGCCCAGGATAGACGATCTTTTAGATCGGGTGCAGGGTTGTAAGTATTTCTCCAAGATAAATTTGAAGTCCGCTTACCATCAGATAGAAGTCCATCCTAATGACCAGTACAAGATTGTGTTCCGGACTCGTTATGGGCATTACAAGTTTATAGTGATGCCCTTTGGACTGACCAATGCCCCAGCCACATTTCAGCGATGTATGAATGACCTGTTTAGGCCTTGGTTAGACAGATTTGTCGTAGTATATTTAGACGACATTCTAATATTCGGTAGGACCCTCCAGGAGCACCAGCGTCATTCGAGGCAGGTCTTGGAGAAGTTGAGGGAAGCTAACTTCAAGATCAACGCAAAGAAGTGTGAGTGGGCCAAGACACAAGTTCTGTACTTGGGCCACGTGTTAGACGGAGATGGCATTAAGACTGAGGACAGTAAGATAGCGGCAATTAGAGATTGGCCGACGCCCCGCACATTGACAGAGCTACAATCGTTTCTAGGCCTAGCCAATTACTACAGGAAGTTTGTGAGGAACTTCTCTACTATCGCCGCTCCCTTGCGCAGGTTGCTCAAAAAAGAGGCAATCTGGCAATGGCATAAAGGCTGTACGTCTGCGCTAAAGAAATTAAAGCGCGCGTTTATAGAGTACCCTGTCAGCGAGGATGCCCTCAGAGAAGGTTGCTACCTCGACGTATGAGAGAGAACTCTACTCTCTTAGGCAGGCTCTAGTGCACTGGAAGCATTACCTGCGTGGGAGGCACTTCAAAGTGTACTCCGACCACGAGACTCTGAGATGGTTGAAGACACAGGCCAAAATGACACCTAAGTTGACTAGGTGGGCCGCTGAAATAGACCAATATGACTTAGGGGCAAGTACAATGTATTTGCGGACGCTCTGAGTAGGAGATCAGACTACTCTGGAGCTTTAGTTCAATATATCAACATAGGGAGTGACCTGCAAGAGAAAGTTGGACAGGCATATGCACAGGACCCTATCTATAGTGACCTCCTCAAGAGAGTTAAGGAGGCCCCAAAGACTGAGCCAAACTACCGCACTACAGAGGGTTTATTATTCGAGAAGACTAACATAGTAGACCGCCTATGTGTTCCCAACAGTGAGGAGATCCGCAGCCTGATCCTAGGTGAATGCCATGATACAGAGGGACACTTCGGTTGGCAAAAGACTATAGCCAATCTGATGCACGCATACACATGGCCAGGAATGAAGAGCGACTGCATAGAGTACATCCGCAGCTGTAAGGTCTGCCAGAGGAATAAGACCACTACGCATGCCCCTCTAGGTCTTCTTAGACCCTTGCCTATTCTAGACCAGCCTGGAGGCTCAGTCTCCATTGACTTTATGGATGCCGGTGTCAAGAGTAGACACGGCAAGAGCCAAGTCATGGTTGTAGTTGACAGATTTAGCAAGTATGCTATTTTTGTTCCTTTGCCTGCCAAGGCACGCACAGAGTTAAGTGATCCAGAAGTTTTTCGATTTTTGGGTTAGTGAACATGGAGTCCCATTGTCCATAGTTAGCAATAAAGTTAGTCACTTCACCAGCCAGAACTGGCAGGAACTCATGAGAGTCTATGGGTCAAAGTCGCTGATGTCGTCTGGCCGCCATCCAGAAACTAACGGTCAGACAGAGCAGACGAACAAGATCCTGCAGCAAATTCTGCGCATGTACATTAGACCCGATCAGATTAACTGGGACGAGATGTTACCCAAGGTAGCCAGCGCATACAATAACAGCGTACACTTGTCTACCGGTCGCACTTCCAACGAGTTACACAAGTCCTTTAGACCACGTAGACCGTTTGAAGGACTGAACCGGGATCAGATTCTACCGCCCTGTACCAGGGAGTTCGCGATACAGCATGAGAAAGAGATAGCCACTATTGTTGAAAACCTCCGGAAGGCCCAGCACCGGATGATAGAGCAGGCTAATAAGCACCGTCGCCCCTCACAGTTTCAAGTAGGCGACTTAGTCTGGGTCAAGTCTAAAGAGTCTGCACCTGAGGAGAACATCTCGCAGAAGTTACTGCCTGAGTATAGAGGATCGTGGCCGGTTCTAGAAGTTAAGGGCGGAGAGGATGGGCCGTCCTACACCATAGAGATCCCAGCACACCTCCACACCTACCCTGTGTTTCACACATCAAAATTACTGCCGTGTGTCACAAGTCGGCAGTCTCCGCCATCCTACACCATAGAGATCCCAGCACACCTGCACCCCTACCCTGTGTTTCACGCATCAAAATTACTGCCGTGTGTCACAAGTCAGCAGTTTCCCTCTAGACGATCCATGATCCCTCCAGACATGGACGGAAGATATGACATTGACGGCATTGTAGGTGAAGATGTTTTCAGAACAGGAGGTAGAGGTGGTCCACAGAAGCAGTATAAGGTCCGGTTTGCATATCAGGAACCGGGGGATGACCGCTGGTTCAGCTGAGCAGAACTTCTAGAGACAGCTCCGGATATAGTAAGAGCCTACGAAAGATCTCAGAGAGGTCAGCGTCCTGCCTTGGACTGAGTTATTCTCGGAGAACCTCGGATTTAGGTCGGCGGGAGTGAAACGGTATTCACCAATTCGCAGTAGCTGATGCAGATCCCAGGGCTCGATCCCTAGTTCCCACCTTACCTGTGTATAGTACCTGTGTCGGCCCTTAGAGTTGAACCCGTGACCTGTGTATTTGTAACAGTGGTAACTGTAGTAGGGTCCTGTCGAGTAGGAGTCTTAGTCAGGTCCACAAGTCGTAGCTGTAGCCTTCTCGAAGAGTCAAGGTTGTAGCTGCTACAGTCCAGAAGGGTCAGGGTCGTAGCTGCTACAGTACCGAAAGGCCACGTCTGCGGGCTTCCGGAAGGTCCGAGTAGTGGCCTTTCGGAGTGCCCACGTTTAGGCTGAGGCAAGTGGGCAAGTGGTGAGGCAAGTGGTGGAGTCTACCCGTGCTGAGTCAGCAGTCCCAGTCTTAGGCAGTCCTGGTCCAGTCCAGCAAGTACCGCATGGGACTGTGTGCACTTCGGGCATGGGAAAGGGCCAGACCAACACACTGCAGAAGTATAAATCAAGAGGCAGCGCCCAGCCATTCATTCATTCCTGCGTGAGCCATGTGGAAGCGCTGCCACAGCGACTTGTGCAAGGAGGTCTGCAGTGAGCCCGAAGACGAAGTGGGCAGAGAGACGAAGCTCAGCCATAGCGATAGGGTAGAGGCGGCCATAGCCGCCATAGCTGTAGTTAGTGTTCAGTGTGTGTGTGTGTGTGTGTGTGTGTGTGTTCGGAGAGACGCGTGTGGGATATCCAGGGTGATCCACTGTATGCGAACAGAGAGTTGTATGGGCGCTATATCGCCATAGCCATTGGAAGTGAACTCGTATCTGGGTTGCCATATCTCTGAGTACTGAGTGGGCGCATGTCGCCAGTTTGCTGCGCTACTGTTTGCATGCATGTAAAGTGTGAATGAAAGCAAGTCTGATTCCATACGAGTCTATGAGAAAGGGAATCTACCAAAAAAACAACAACAGAATCCAGCAGAAAATAAACAATTAGGCCTCTAAATCTGTTTTTACGGGCCCTGAAACCCACCAAATAGCCTGAAAAGTCCAAACACTGATTGGGGGCCGGGGGTCCGGTAACACTGATTTTAACAATAAATTCAACTAAGGGTAGTTAATGTTGGCAAACCGATCAAGAGTTCGAATCTCGTCAGAATCAGGGATAAAATAGGCCAAACAATAGCATCAGGGGCTAGCCTCTTTTCACAAACCAATACCAACGAGCCAGCAAACAGCAAGCACCATTTGCACACATTAAGGCAGGGAACTCACCCAAAAAAGCGAAGGCAGTCCCTGTGAATGGAGTGCCCACATCTGAGAGCTTGTGATGTGGCAGCATGATTATAGAAGCTGAGCTCCAAAAACTTCCCGAATGAGAATGCATGAGCTGTGTCTGACATTACCACTCTTTTAGATACAGGCCTTCTCCCATCAACTTTCGGACAGCGTAGGCAGCGATGCCACATCCATACACGACCCTCAGGCGGCCCTTTCAGTGCATGTGCATGCTCCACCGGCAACTGACGCATCCTGACTGTCACCGAGCCAGACCGATGAGCAAAGCATTGTACATGCGCTTGTGCAGGCACATCACATCCCCCTTTGCAAGACTGTCACAACATGAACGATGGGAACATTAGCACGAACACCAACAGTCAGTCCCGTGATATCCGCAGTGCTGCCTCGAAGTAGAATCAACATTCCAACCACCTCATTACTCGACAACAGCCTCCACTCCTTTGCTGTTCACTGAAGGCGTTCCAGAGACAAATGGGAGCAGAAAAACAACAGACACACCAGCAGCGGGCTAACTGCTGTGACACTTCACACACAAAGCAGGCACAGTGCCGGCATTAGTGCTAAGGGTTCATGGGCAGGCACGTGGCTTGGCAGGGTTGATGGAACCAGAAGGGTAGACAAAAAAAATAGACGACAGGAAAATTGCTTCATAAATTTAAACAAAGGGCATCACTTTCTTGGGGGAAAGCAGGGGCGGGGAGCGAAAGGAAGCTAACCAAATACAGAATTGTGGCAGATAGTTCACATACTCACCATGCTTTGCATGAGTGACAGCAAGTACTGTCCAAGCGGGAGATCATGAAGATCATCATAGAACTCATATGATCGCTCTTCCTCCTCGCACACTTTCCCCTTCAGAGGACAACGGACCGATGACAGGACGTTAATACATTGGTGACTTTCCGGCAGGAACATTTTCTCAAATGTTGTCATCTCTCTGACTGTTCTCTTGGCTGCACCGTCTTCTTTACACTCCTCCGAATGGCCAGCCACTTCCGGTGATGCTGCCGCCGCATCAGGCCACACACTTTCAATGCTGGCACTTCCAGATGCTGGTGGCATTCCATCCTGAAACGCCCGGTATAACGACGATGAACTTGTACTTCTGCTTAGCATATCTGCCACGCCTGCAGAGTGAACTAGGTTATGCTCCTGGGTCGCATGCAATTGAGGAAGAGGAGCCAAGCCACTTGAATCAACCAATGACTGCATACGCTGAGCACAGGTTGTTGCTGCGTCAAGCTCTGCTAGTGAAAAGTTATCCAGGAAGACAACTGGAGGGGTGGCGCTCCCACTGAGTGGCGTGCTCATCGTGCCATGGACTGCCAAGCCGACACCGGATAGCACTCGGTTGACTTGTGCCTTTCCTGAAGGCATAAGTGTATGCCCGGCGAAAGCCCCTGTGTCACTTTGAGTCCTTATCATGCTGCTGCCACCACAACCAGCCTGTCTCATTAGTTCAGACAAGTGCCTCGATAACAAGTCCTTGCAATTTCCTACTGCAAATCTCACAAATGGTGAGACAGACAAGATGGGCCGCAGCACCAAAGACTTCAGGTCTGAATCACTCACACATCCGTTGCCTCCACTTGCCAACTTCTTCTCCAATGATAGCCTTCTCCGTAGTTGAACTCCTTCCCAATTTGGTTTCCCTCGCAAAGATGGAAACCCTGCCCCTTCATCAGCAAGGAAAGCTGACTCAAGGATGCTGTTGTATGCTGCAAACACAGCAAAGCGAGTGACTTGCTTGACCCGCTTCAACTCCTCACGAGCAGCACCATGGAGAATGATAGTGCATCCATGAGGCCGTGGGCATCCATCAAAGTACATCAACATAGACGTTTTTCTTCCCTGCTGTGCAGCTGAGCCAAGCTCCTCCACAAACTTCTCGACATAGAAGTGCTCGCACTCTCCCAACGTCAGTTTTGTAGTTATCAAATCATTTGTATTTCGAACAATCTTTGCACCTGTGCAGCGTGCTATCCTTTCCATCAACCTCAGCTTCACATGCTTAACCTGCAAGTGATTTCCATATATCCAATTGGGCGTCAGACAGATTCCAAGATTGCATGGGATGTTCAAGGGTGCATGTCAGCATCAGTCTTTCCCAAGTCTGAAATAGGCATGGCAGGCAACTTCTCATCCAGGCCACAGACTAATGAAAACTCGATCTCCCGTCTTCACCCGAATAGAACACCAGGTCATCATCCTTGTATCTAGAGTAAAAGTTGCCCCAAATGCAGCTTTAATGACCAGGCATTCAGGTGGAGAAGGTAGACTTTTCACCTCCAGATTGATCATTTGTTCAAAATTCAAATGCAGACTATTGCCCTATGTGCCCCAGAAAAACCTGACAAATGCCAAAATAGGCCTGACTCTTGATGGCCCTGCATACTAATATCATGCGCCTGTGCTCTGCTCTGAGTCTCGGTGAGGGTTGTACCGTGCAAAACTTGTTGACTTCCAAAGTAAAGACCAGGGATCACTCGACAGAAACACGAGTTATGGAAATACAAACTTTCAAATTCATACAAACTTTCAAATTGGACAGTATACAGTTATCAACTTAATATAAATACACAAGTTCTACCAGGCCAGTAGGAATTTTGCTGTAAGTCCCCCATAGGATGTCTACCTTCTTCCTCCGTATGGAACATACAGTCATTTTTGTTGCATCTGGACTAAAAGGTGAGCCAAATACGGCAATAATAATCATACTGCGTATGTTCTATTCGGGAGAAGACGGTAGTCCTCAATGTATGCTAAGGCAACTTGGGTAGGATGAGTCTGGACGCAAGCGTGCTTAGCAGACTTAGCTGAAAGACCATCGTGTTCACCCCAAAATGCAGCAGCAATAAGTACGCAGGTTATCAGGCCTTGGAGGCCAGGCAGGTACCCGGAAATTGGTGGTATAAGGCAAGACGTACTTGGTCAATACGCTGTTCACACATTATGCTGGCAAGCTGTCTTCCAAGCCGTCGGTTTGGCGGCTAGGGAGTTCAAGGGCAGAGGAGGAAGTGGTCGAATTCCGTACTGTCCACAAATGGGGGATGGAGGAGTGAATGAATGCTCTTGATAGAGATGCCTTTGGTGAGAGCAATCGCATATTCTCCTGAAGTTGACACTATGTTGATTCTCAGATTTGAAGAGATGGATTGCCAAAACAGGAAGGAATCTCAGGGCTATGGATTTTCTCTCTCTCCCTCTTTGCACACTTTCTTGTATATTTGTTCTCCCTTTCATTCCGCATTGATCGTCATAAATTTGTGACTTCTGCTTGTGTTTTCATCAACTCTTGGACAAGCATTACGGTAGGAATTACACCCACAATCTAGGTAACCATGCCATCTGACTAAGACCATTGTGGTCCCACCCATTCATAAATCTAAGCGAAAAACAAAAGCTGATCAAAGAAGTCTGTTCAGCACACACGATCTCGGCGCTACGTGTATCGCACAGTGAGACCCAACCTGGACCTGTTCACAAATCCATGCTCTGAGTAATAGAACGCTGAGCTGATAGGAGGCAAGAGACGAGTTTGAGAGAGTCAGAGCACTAGCTCCCCCAGACTCGAAGAATCCAGGTCTAGAAAAAGTACATGATAAGATTGTATCCTCAGTCTTCCATTAGAAAGACTGCGGGCAGCGGGCCTGTAGGCCCTGCAGAAAATTACAAGAAAGTCCATGGACAGTTCACATTGATCCTTGCTTCCCTCGGCCTCACCACCAATGTTGTGCATCAATTCTAGTGCAACGACCTCATGCAAATTCGTTCCCGTCACACAAAGATCCATGCAGACCATTGTCGACCCACCCATTCAAACATCTAAACGAGAAAAAAAAGGCAATTAGAGACCTCTGTTCAACACGCAATCAATCTGCCACCTGCATGTCGCAAAGAGACCCAACGTCGACCTGTATATAAATCCATGTTCTGAGTTAATAGAACAATGAGCTGATAGGATGCAAGATAGGAGTTCGAGCGAGTTGGAGAACTAGAAAAAGTACATGATAGATCACATCCTTAGTCTTTCGTCAGAAGGACTGCAGGAAGCAGTCCTTTAGGCCCGGTGTGAATACTAGAGGAAGTCCATGGACAGTTCATACTGATCCCTGCATATCAGGCAAGAGAGGGGTTTGAGCGAGCTGGAGAAGTAGAAAAAGTACATGATAGATCGTATCCTCAGTCTTCTGTCTGAAACAATGGGGACAGCAGTCCTGTAGGCCCAGCACGAGAATCAGAGGAAGTCCATGGACAGTTCACATGGATAGCTGGAGAACACTAGGAAATCATCACTCTGTGCTGCCAAATGATAATGAAGTGACCTGCCACAAAAAGATCTTATCAAAGATTATCTGCTCAATTCCTTCTCAGCAAAACTCGTACATGAGAGGTTGGTGAAAAACACTGCGGAGATCCATGAAAGGTCAAAACAACATGCCTTTCAGTTTGCCTTCACACGGATGCTCATCGGATCTAAACTGTTCCATGAGATGAGCATTCCCCCTCGCCCAGCGGTTCCATGGGGTTCCCAGTAGTCCCTTCGGTCCATCAATGTTGATCAAACTATGTCCAATCTTATCAGGAAGGTGTTTTATACCCTCCTTCAGTTGTGCGCCTAGATCGAACCACTGTGGCTTCCTCACTTTCACCAACTCCTTTCCCACCAACTTGCCAGTAGCCAACCCCAAGAGCCAAACCCGACCCTCGGTGCGAAGGACGCTATGATACTGCAGCCCTACTGCTAGAAGAAACCATCAGCATTGTGCATTTGCTCCTGGGACATGATGGACGCTGCCATCCTTCGTGTGCCAAAACATGGCACTGTGAATGGGACAGCGCTCTGGCGGTGCTGTTGTACCTCCCCTCACAGGCCTCCTTCCTGCTAGGGGAAAGGCTGCCTGGTCACTCTGTCTCTCCTCTGAAGGATTGCACTGGTGAGAGTAGGCTGGCAAGAAGCAGAATCAAGGAAAGGGCCTGATGGGACGGCTCACGAGATGCACAAAAAGGAGAATGAAATTCGTGAATCTTAAAAGACAGACTCGAAAAACAAAAAAAAAGGAGCTGTTTTAGGGGGGGAAAAGAAGAGATTATGAAACAAAGAAGAGCAGAAGAGAGAGGGGAACAGTCATGATTCATCAATGTGCTACGCAAACAAATGCGCAAAATTGAGGGTGTATCTTCAGCATAGGTAGAAATATACACTTGCGAGTTTTCTGCATCTTTCACATTTTGTGATCGATGGAGGGACGCACTATGGCTTCAAGAAACTATCATGCCAAACGTGTTAACCTACTATGTGGCTAGAATGGGGAAACTAAGACATGGCTAAAGTGCGAATACAACAGGTGAAGGATGCTGATGGGAGATGGATTAAAAAAACTGGAAGAGTGAACAAAAAAGCTCAGCAAAACAAAAAGAAAAGAAGAGGAGAGAAAAATGATGCCGAAAAGGGAAGGTACAAACCAGTTCAAAGTTTTTCAAACATATATACTCGGACAGTGGGAGATGATTCTTTCCTTACTTCAGAGCAACCTGCACCGACTACAGCGATCTGTACAAAGTTACCACAAACAAACCTTCACCTTTCCCTCATTGCTCTCCCCTCATCCCCCCTCCTCCCCCAACCAAAGCCCCATCTAAAAATAAACAGTGCGGCATTGAGAACGCTACCCCAGAGTAACCATAACCTTGGGAGGTGTTGCTGACTTTGCTTCCTCAGGGCTGACCTCAAAGTTTTGCGGGCAGTGACGGCAGTCTATGATGCCTAAATGATCCTCTTCTGCTGGGGCCTGGAAAAGGCTAGAGTATTGGTTGATGACTTGGACTAACCCCTCGAAGTCTGAACTGGAATCCGGACCGCCTTCTGGCTCGCTCTTCCGTTTCCATTCTCAGAGAGGTGCCCAAGAACTTTCCAGAAATGGCCTCAGGCTAGCTTCATGAATGGGAAACACTAGGCGAAGCAGTTTGTCAATCACAACAACACTATTAGATCGGATTCCTCACAAGCAACGAGCAGACACTTCATTTAGTCCCAGCAGCTGTGCCGGCAACTCAAAGCTACTTGGTGCATACTGAAGTGTCAGGAGTATCCCGAGGAGGATCCACAAACCAATTTCCTGGGGTAAGATCCCTGGGTCATTCTTGGCTTGACAAACACACTGCCGGAGGATGCGAGTGACATTTTGAATCGAGAGAGGAGTATGAACAGAAGCGTCTAAACCCTCCATCCCATCCATTGTCAGCCTCGTACGAGTGGTTGCAAATGATCTCTTCGAATGTGCAAGGTGGTCTCCATGCAGGATTATAAACTGGCTGTACTACCCATAGCACAAAGCGCTCTGAAACCTCCTCAAAAAATACTCCTTTAACCTCCTTAAAAAATAGTCCTTTAACCTCCCTCTTTCAACAAGCAAGCGACTGAGTAGAACGCAGTCGAAACGGAGCGCTCCGTGCCTTAGCATACCAATGAGATTCAGACTCCCGTCCATGTCGGGCAAGCTGCTGAGTATTTTTGCAGCGAATCCAACTGCAGATGCATTGCAACACTTCCCTCCATGTCGGACAAGTTGCTGAGTATTTTTGCAGTGAATCCAACTGCAGATGCATTGCAATGCTGGAAACTAGACACACCCCAAGTCCCATCTTGCATTTTGACAAATTTCCAACCCCCGCTTGCAGGGCTTGCTTTTGTTTTACAGATGGTTCCTTCCGGCAACAGTGAGGAGGTGGCGAGAAGGTCGAGCAGCGTGTCCAACACCTTGCGGATGAACCAGTGAATCTCTCACCTGCCACACACTTGACTGCAGAACCATAGACACTGAACAAGAAGCTTCGCAACTTCACCATCCATGTCTCTGACATTCTGACAAATGAAGATCTTGGCTACGAGCAGCTAGGAGAACGTGGAGAGACAGGCTTTATCTTTCTATTCGCATCAGTGACAAATCACATCCTTTAGACCAGCCTTTACCCTGGATGAATCAGTGAGCTTGTCCATTGAGCACAGCGAGTTC